TTCGTTGAGTTGTATTTGGAAATTTTTGATATGTTGAAGTAAAATTGACAAGTCGTCTAAGTGCAGACAAGATTGAAAACGACATAATAAAGTGTATGAAATGACTTTAAACTATTGATCTTAACTTTGCTTCTAATGTTTTTGGAATTTTTAGGTGTATTTTGGAATGTGATTTTGGAATGGCAAAATCATTTCTATTTCTGACCACAAATTAAGAAATTGATTTTAAGAAAACATAAAATCACTAAAAGTTGATTTTTAAGATATCGCTCGGGAGGTGATTTTAGAAAATCAATTATTTTTAAATCACTTTTCCTATCCTTACTCCAAACACGCACCCTCAGTTTTACCTTCAACTCTAAAAACAATTGTGTCAGACGTTTTAGTAAAATTTGTTTATGGAGGGTTTTTTTTTCTTATTAAATAAAGCAAAAAAGTTAGAAAGATTGAAGTTAAGTTTATAAACGACATGAATTAATTAAGTATGGTGTGTTTTTCTCACCATCATAACAGAATTAAACCTAATTTGGTTGGGTGCTAAATAGACGCGGTTGTGACGTAGGATATTTGAACAACCCAGAGGCAACGTCATTGACCATAGACATGGAGGGTTGGCTTCATACAGGTGACATCGGTTATGTTGACGACGATGAAGAGATTTTCATTGTCGACAGAGTCAAAGAGATTATTAAATTCAAAGGTTTTCAGGTACCTCACCTTAATTCCTAATGTTTATACCACAATAAAAATGAAATACACTTTTTTAGTTGAGTTGTTTTAAAGCAGTTAATATTTTCCAAAGCAAATATAGTTCAGCTGTAACTGACACATATCTCCAACCAACCAAAAAGTTGTGAGTTTGATCTCCCACCTCATATGTTGTACACTTAATATCTAATAACTTACTAAACCTAATTTCTCGTTGTTTTAGAAAATTGACCTGTGAGACGGTTGGTATACTGACAATGGATAAACCATAAAAAATTACTAATTTAAAACACACTATTATTTAGCTTTTTAGTTCAGCTCTTACTCTTATACAGGTGGCACCGGCTGAGTTAGAGGCGATTCTTATAACCCATCCATCTATCGTGGATGCAGCAGTTGTCCCGTAAGTATACGATTTAAACCTTGCAATTTTATATATATGAGTGATATTGTAAACTTATAGGACTTGATATTAATTTAGATGAGAAATTAGGCCAAGCAAGAAAGAATGAAAGTCGAAGGTTTTGTACTATAAAAAAAAAAAAAAGCCTGAAGTTTCTGTCAGCTTAAAAATTTGAAGTAATTGAAAATTTTTTTGTGATGGTCTAATTTCTCCTCTAAATTTACATCAGCTCACTGATTATTGTGTTCTATATGTTTTCATTAACCAATTATAACGTCGTAAAGGTTATAATTAAAAACGATAAAACATAATTGACTAAGTCGTAACTTTTTAAATAATAGGACTAAATTAGAAAACATCGAAACATTAGAGATTAAATCAGGGTTTAGCCAATATTTCATTTGAAATTTTTATTTTATTTCTATAGATGAAATTGGTTTCGTAACAATTTCTTTCTCTTTAATATATATGTTCAAATAAAGATGTAAAAATTTCAGTCAATTTTTTCAAAAGGGAAATCAAAGAACTTGTTTTTATTTATTTTTATTTATTTTTTCAAGTTAGTTAAAATTGAGATCCTATTTACTAAGCATATTATTTTATAAGTTACCTTCGGAATATTATTTTTAATACCAAATATAATTTTTTAAAAATAAAACTTTCAACTTGATTAGAGTTGTAAGAAATATTTATAAAATTAGACTGCAAACCAAAATATAAAAACTCTGGAAACAAGCTTAGATTATATAAAACACAACAAAATTAGTCATCCTTGTAAGACGGGTATTAAATTAATAATTAAATATTTAAAAAAAAAGAAAAGAAAAGACATATAACAAATTGACCACACTAAAGTATCTATTCAAAAGTTGGGTAATAATCTGTTTTAAATATCAAATTTTAAAACATTACTATCTCGTGTTTTGTTATATAGTTTTAATAATCATTTTTAAAATCCAAATTAAAATTTGAAAAAGAAAACAACTTAAAAAATTTAGAAACAAAAATAATAAACAATAAACTTGATTTTGTTGTTTCTAAAAATTTATATACCATTTTCGAAAAGTTTCTTAAAAATGAGAAGGAAAACAAAAATTATTATTAAAAGTTTATAATTAAAAACAAAAAAAATGTAAAACTCTTGAATAAAATTGTTATCACTTTTAAATTTTGATGAGAAAATAAAGAATTTGAGGAATTTACAGGCAAAAGGATGAAGTTGCTGGTGAAGTTCCGGTGGCTTTCGTGGTTAAATCAACCGATCACGAACTTACCGAAGAGGCAGTAAAAGAATTCATAGCAAAGCAGGTAATTTTCTCCTCATAATAAAATTTAAAATATTTTAGATTTAAATACTTATTTATTTATTCATAAACTTTTTACTATAATGGTTTGTTTTGTTTATTGTTAGTTTTCATTAATTCATTAACCAAACTTTTTAATTGTTTCAAAATCTTTGAATAAGTATCAAACACTTACCCTCGTTGGGAGTCGAAGGAATAAAAACGCTTTTTAAAAATTCAGATTGCTTTAAAAATGCTTAAAAAAAAAAACACTTAGAGATATCATTATCGAAAAATGGATTTTAAAGTGATCAACACTTTTTTTACTATAAACTATTGAGGGATGATTATTAAAAAAAAATGCTTAAATTAAAAGATATATTTTCTAAACTCAACTTAAATAGTTTTGTGATTAATACAAGAAATTAAATTTTTTTTATCTGATTTGTTTGGATTCTAAGAAATTTGAAATTCTTTATCTTGTTTGTTTGGAATACTAAATATATGAAATAAAATTAATTAAATGTTTTTGTTTGGTTATTATTTAGAGAAGACAAAAGGAATAAAATAAATAATTTACTATTCTAGATTTTTAATTTAATCTACCAATAAAAAAAATTAAAATATGACCATGACCAATAATTAATTTAACTTAAAATTTTTGAAATCCTACCAAATTTGATGTTTAATATCCATAAATTTTTTAACCTTCAAAATGTTTCATTCTATTGATGCGATAATATACAATGAAGTTTATTTAAAGTCCATCAAAATTTGAAATCACTGGCATTATAAACATAGACAACTTCTCATGAAATAAATGAAAACTTCTTCTAATTTATAAAAACATTAATTACAAAGACGCAAATTACTTTTTTTTTTTAAAGTCTATGAATTAAAATAAAAGGTTTAAATAAGAACAAAAGTCAAGAAAAAAGTAGGTTACAGATTTGGTGTCTTAAAAATGTTAATTTTTCACTTTAATTTATTTATTATGTTTTAAAAGTTTAAGTTTTATCATATATGCATATAACACATTATTTTCAAATGGGTAAAACCATTGAAACTTTTGAAAAAAAAAAAATCACACGAAGTTAAAACTAAGTTGAGACTACAGTAAAACTACAAAAACTACCGAAACTAAATTGGTAATTTAATTTAAAATAAATTACAATAATCTGACTTGTTTTTTGTTTTGTTTGTTGGGTTTTTGAATGAAAAACCAACAGGTAGTGTTCTACAAGAGATTGCAGAGGGTTTTCTTTGTGCAGACAATTCCGAAATTGCCCTCAGGAAAAATCTTGAGAAAAGACCTCAAAGCCAAGCTTTCACCTGCCTTTTAAAATGAGAGAGAGGAAACAAAAAAACTGTTTTGTTGTTGTTATTATTATTATTATTTTATATTTTTCATCGATGATTGTTTATCTGTCTCTGCAAGCATTATTCATTTGTGTACCTATTTCTGTCATTTTGTTCCTATGATTTTTTCCTTATGAATATGAGTAGATTAAGATGTGAATTTCAGAGACCTTTTCTCCACCCATTTTGACATATTTTTTGTTTATTATTTTTATTTTGTAAGTATTGAACTAATATGGAGGGAAAAATGTGCAGAGAAAATCTTTTATTGATCTACTTTCATTTGATAATACAACTCCTTATCCTTATATTGGGAAATAACCAAATAACAAATTGTATAACTGTACAACTATCTAGAGTAACTTAAGAACAAAATTATAGGAACTGGAAAGTAAGTAGTTAACAAAATATCTATTCGCAATACGCCCCCTCAAGATGGATGGTGGATATCTAAAACGCTCATCTTGGGCAATAGGGGAAAAAGAAGGGTAGCAGGCAATGGCTTTGTAAACATATCGGCAGGTTGATTGGAGGCAAGATGAATAGCAGATTGATTATCACAAAAAAAGGAGCTCAAAAGGAATACGAAGATCATGCAAAAGACTTGTTAGCCAAACAATTTCGCTGGTAGCAACTGAAAGAGTGCGATACTCAGCCTCAGTAGACGAGCGAGAGACAGTATTCTGTTTCTTGGAATTCCAAGAGACCAAAGAATCGCCAAGAGAAACACAAAATCCGGTGACAGAACGTCGTATCCAAACAAGCACCCCAATCTGCATCGACAAAAGCTCGTATTTGAAAATGAGAAACCACCGGAAGAAACATACCTGAATCAGGAGAGGTCTTCAAATAACGTAACAAGTCATGAGCAGCTGCAAGATGTGATTTACAAGGGCGAGACATGAACTGACTAAGTCGATGCTCAGCAAACGTGATGTGAGGGGGAGAAATGGTCAAGTATAAAAGTCGTCCAATGAGACGATGAAATATCGAAGGATCAGGAAGCAAATCAACATCAGAAGAACACAACTTCAAGCGAGGATCCATAGGAACATAATTAGGCCTGCAACCAAGAAATCCAGTGTCTACAAGTGAGAAATAAAAATGTCTGAAGAGGATCGAGAAAGTTCAAGATCAAGAAAATATTTTAGAGAACCAAGATCCTTGAGCTTCAACCGAGCATGACGATCGAAGTGCTTTCAGGTTATTAATGGCTGAAATAGACACCCGAGTAATAATTATATCGTTAACCAAGTAAAGCAAGAAACGAACCCCCATCACCATTCACAAACAATGAATAATCAGCCTTGGATTATCGAAAACTAAGAGACAGTAAAAATTCTGAAAATTTTGCAAACCATTGGCGAGAAGCTTGCTTGAAGCCATAAAGCGATTTATGAATTTGCATACCAACCGATCACCATTGACAGAAAAAAGGGGGTTTATATCTTAGAGGCAAGTCCATATATATCTCTTCAACCAAGTCTCCATGCAAAAAAACCTTATTCATGTCTAATTGAAGCAAAGGAAGTTACCAAAAGATCCAAACCTTCCTGTTGTGTATACCCCTTGACTACTAAACGGGCTTTGTAGCGCTCAATAGAGCCATCAGCACGATGTTTAATTTTAAAAATCCACTTACACCCAATAGTATGCTTATCGGAGGGGAGAGAAGCAACACTCCAAATACGATTGTCTTTCATGGCAGCAAGCTCGGCAGCCATAGAAACACGCCAATGCTCAAAATCCATCGCTTGATGATAAAACTGAGGCTCAAAATTAGCAGAAACATTAAGAACCATAGCACGATGAGCAGGAGAAAGCCAGGAGTAAGACACAAACTGTTGTAACGGATATCTAGTAGAAGTGTCAGGCAAAATTGTAGAATAAAGAAGACTACAATGATAGTCCTTCAAATAAGAGGGGGGCTTTTTGAGGCGTGTAGAAAAACGTAAACCTAGTTGTGGTGCAAGAGGTAATGTTGTATCAAATGTGTCAGAGGATTTAATGGTGCCTGAAGTGGATAACTCATGAGGTACCATATCCTGACAAGCATTAGAAGATAAAGTTGCATCAAAGGGTCCAAACCTCATTATGTGGTGTTGTAGCTCTTAGAATACGATGTAAAATAGGCATGTCAGGCGGTTGGACAACAACTAAACGAACAGGCGACTGTTCTGGAACGGGTGTGACCGGCAAATCGGGAGCGGCAATGGTCGGTGACCTGAGAATGGGAACGGTCGACGAACCTAGAACAAGAAGAGTTGGTGGAGCTAGAATGGCGACAGGCAATGGGTCAGGTACCGTTGTGATTGTTGGTGGGTCCGATGCTGTTACGACTGGCGGAGTTGGGGTGGCAGCGGCCGATGGGTCCGACGGAAGTACAGGCACCATCGAGGAAGGATGTGCAAGAGCCGGCGAAGAATCAAACAAGTTGGCCAGCGGAGTTGGAGCTGCGACTACCAATGGATCGGATATGTCAACGGCCAGCGAGATCAAATCGGGAGCAAGCGGCCAGGCCGTGTCAGCGGTCGGCGACAGCGTCGGAAGAGGAACAGTGGCAGGGTCTTTACACACAAGAGGTGAAGCCGTATGTCCATAAAATGTCCTCAAACATCCATCAGATTGCACAACACTAGAGTTAGTGGGAAGATGGGACAAATCACTGCCACAATGAAGAACCTTGGGTGAAACAAAACCATGAAATGGGTCAGAAATGCCATCTTTCTCAGTAACTTTGTGAAAGGGGAAAACATCCTCATGAAATACAACATCACGGGAAATAAAAAATTTCTGATTGGTAATGTCATATAACCTATATGCTTTTATTCCAGGTGGATACTCAGTAAAAATAGCCGGAACAGCCCGAGATTGAAATTTAGACCGATTGGCAGTAAGTGTAGAAGCAAAACAGAGACAACCAAAAACACGAAGTTGTCCAAAATCAGGCAGAGTCTTATGAAGCAATTCAAAAGGAGTGCGCCAAGACAACACATGTGATGAAGTGCGATTAATAAGAAACATTGTAGTAAGAATACAATCACCCCAAAATGGATAGGAATTCGTGATTGAAAATAAAGAGCCCGTGCAACATTCAATATATCTGATGTTTCCGCTCAACAACAGAATTTTGTTAAGGACGACCAACACATGAAAATTGATGAATAACACCTTTAGAAGCAAAAAAAACTCATCAAACTGAAGCTCAGGTGCATTATCCGAACGAAACTGCTTGATGAATTTACCAAATTGAGTCTCTACAAGCTTAAAAAAACGAGGGACAATGTGCAGAATATCTGACTTATTTTTAAGCATAAAAATTCATGTATATCGGGTAGCATCATCAACAATAGTTAAAAAATAAGAATGTCCAGCATAAGTTGGCGTAGAAAGAGGTCCCCAAACATCCGCATGAACAAGATCAAAAGCATGGGGAGAGAAATTGTTATTTGAAATAAACGTTAAACGTCGTTGCTTAGCCAAAAGACAAATGTAGTCAGAATGATCATGTTGCAACAAGGGTAAAGGCAAAGCAGTTCGTAAAGAATTTAAACAACTAAAAGATGGGTGATGAAGCCTATAATGCCACAAAACAGCAGACGATTGGGAAGTCAAAGATGCGCAAACACCATGAGAAAAAAAGTGTCAACTGGAGCTGTCGAGGTGTCGAGCATGTAGAATCCATCAGACAATCTAGCCTTGCCAATCATCCTCAAAGTGGACTTGTTCTGTATGGGGCAAGAAGTATTATATTAGAAAATTGTATAAACACAAAATCATTCCGTAAAAACGCGCTAACTGAAAGGAGATTTTATTGAAACCCCGGTATATATAGAACACCATGAATTTGCAAGGAAGGAATCAACATAACCGTACCTATATGGCGAACAATAATATGCTTTTTATCTGGTAAAGTGACCGAAGCACAAACGGGATGTAAAGAGACACGCGAGAGAAACATATATGTGCAGAAGCACCGAAATCAATAATCCAAAATTGTGGTGAACCATGATGTAATAAGGAGCATGTACCTGCAACATGAGAAGAGGATCCAAAATCATTCTTAGCAAGAGAGAGCTGAGAATGGAGCATATTCAGAAGACTATGACACTGCACAAGAGTATCCACAGGACTGGGAAAGGATTACACGGGTTAAGCCATCACAGAATTGGCAGCAGAGGAGGCCGTGGAAGAATTCTGGTGAGATGAAATATGACCATTGCAATGACGATAACCCGGTGGGTAACCATGGAGCTTATAACAACGATGGATGACACAATGAGAGCATAGAGAACGCTCACAATACTGACCTTGAACTCCACGAGAATTCCGAGTATTAGTGGATGAACTCATAGATACAGGAGAAGTGGATACAACAAGTGCAACACTTTCAGTTGAGGGAAGCACATTTATAGTGCGTTGTTGTTCTTCTTGAAGAAGAAGAGAAAATGCACGATTGACAGAAAGAGGTGGATCTATGAGCAGTAGCTGGACATGAGCACGGGAAAAAGAGTCGTTCAGTCCCCTGAGGAAACTCATCAAATATTCAATTTGGAGAAAATCACCCATAGATCGAAGTCCCCCACAATGGCAAGAACCACAAGTTCAAGCAGGATGATAGAAGTTCAATTCTTCCGAGAGAGCCTTAATCTTAGTAAAGTAAATGCGGATAGAATCTTGATTTTGATTAAGTGTAGCTAAATCACGCTTGATCTGAAAGATTCGAGGGACATTCTTACATTGAAAGCGTTCTTAAAGGTCAAGCCATATCTCCCGAGTAGAATCAGAAAACTAGACTGGAATTGTCATGATAATGAAGGAAATAAGGGCTCGTATATGATTCTGAGGCAACTGAAAAAACAGAGGAAGGAATCACTTGTTGAGAAGAATCCGACAAAACAAAAACTGAGGAAACCGTTGGAGATACAGGGATCTCAGAAGGAGTAATTGTTTCATCAGGGTGAAAGAAGAGAAAAAAAAACAAGAATTAAAAAAAAATTTAATATTGCTCCGATACCATATCAAACTAATATGGAAGGAAAAACTGTAGAGAAAATATTTGATTGATCTACTTTCATTTGATAATACCACTCCTTATATACACAATTTGGGAAATAACCAAAAAAACAAAATAGTATAACTGCACAACTACCTAGAGTAACTTAAGAAGAAATTATAGGAACAGAAAAGTAAGTAGTTAACAAAATATCTATTCGTAATGGTAAGTTAAAAAAATAATATATATTTATTTTGAAAAACATTGAAATTGTATCATGGACGATAACTTTGCATTTTACTATTTATTTATTTTTTTGCACTCTCTCCTATTTTTTTCCTTTGTAAAATTATAAAAAATCATCTTAATTTTTGTAAGCCTAAAACATATAATTGGTTATGTTGCATTCCTAAACTTTTAAAACTGTATAATAAAATTTTGAATTTTTTATTTTGCGTTGAATAGATTTTAAAAATTTTAAAATGGACATTTGAATATTTGGTAAAATAAGCATAAATTACAAATATAGCAGCAAAATTACAATTTTTTTTAAATATAACAAGAAAAAAAACTGGAGATATATGTCAATTACCGCTGAGTTATGCTCGCTTTGGCTACATGAATCCACAATTAATTTACCTTAAACAACTAAATACATGAATGTATTTAATTAAATAGAACTTCATGTACATGTATAATGCATTTAGGGATGTGCATGTTCATTTTCAACATTCCCTTAAACATGTCCTCCTCATAACTCCAAGTAAATTCTTCAGCTTGTTAAAAGCATAAACTTTTAGTGGCTTTGTGAAGATATCTGCAATTTGATCTTTCGTCTTCCCATAATTACCTGGATCGATCTCCTATCTTGAAATGCAATCTTTGATGAAGTGAGATTTCAATCAATGTGCTTACTACGATCATGAAAGAGAAATAGTTGATTTATTGTCCACATGAATAATAGTTACATCTTCTTGCACAATTCCAATTGCCCTGAGCTAGTTTCTCAACCAAACTGCATGACAAACACATGATGATGCAACTATATATTCTGTTTGGCAAGTAGATAATGTCATGATATGTTGTTTTTCAGAATTCTAAGTAAAAGATGTATTACCAATAAAAAATACAAATCCACTTGTGCTTTTTTGATCATTAAGATCTCAGCCAATCACTATGACAATTGACAATAACCTTCAAGTTTGAATTCTCCATACGATAAATAAAATAATCCACAATCTAGAATATCTTCAAGATAATGAAAGAATTCTCTTCACTATTTTCAAATGAGTAGTTGAATGAGATTACATAAACCGACTTACCAATCCAACACTAAAAAGAATATCAGGTCTTGTGCATGTTAAATATCTTATCAAGTGAGCAACATAAGCAAATACTTCATCATAATCAACACCTTTTCTCTAAGAATAACTTTCGCCACTAATCTCGCTTTATGTCTCTCCACTTCTCCTCTTTAATTTCTCTATCTTAAAACACCCATTTGACACATACTTCTTTCTTTCTCCTTGGAGGAGTAGAAAGCTCTAATGTATCATTCTTCTTTATGACTTTTATCTCGTCATCCATTGTAGTCTTTCAATTTTCATCTTGTGCAACTTTTTCAAAATCTAAAGGTTCATTGTTACCAAATCGATAGAAGAAGGTAAGATCATTAAAACTTTGACTTAACTCTTCAGTTTTGTCATATATATTCCATAAACTTCTCATACGATGATGTTTTTCACTTGAACTTGATGTAGACGATGAAGGTGTGGTCTGTACTAGCGTGACCAGTGATGAAGGTTGTAACGACCCAACTTTTTGGGTTTAAATTGCCTACGACGTTACTACATGCATGCTAATTACATTTAAAACTCTTTATAAAAAAAGATAAATAATAAATTACACTTTCATAAATGATTTTACAAAATAATTAAAAAGCTTTACTCGGCACATAACAGAAAATAGTAAAATAAAAAACTTTTAATACAATAAAAAAACATGGTACTAATGTGGAAGCAGAAACCCATGGTATACCAGCAGACATTCTCATCACTCGCCTTGTATGTCTTTGCTATTTTGATAACTCTCCAAAAGAGAGTTAATTGTGCAACAATTTCATATAAATTAGCTGAGGATAGCTACACAAACACCCGCTCTACACTGATTTTGGGCAAAGAATGTTATAAATTCACTATCCTCCTTAACATTGTTGACAATGTTGAAGATTATGAAAAATGGCCTAATTTCGGATGTTTTGATGCAGCATTGTTGATGTTGTAGCATCATAATAAAAAAGGGGTCGAAAACAACAAAGCTGACAGTGACAGAACTTTACCCTGGGAGTTACCACAGTAATTTGGAGAAGCACCTAAAAGTGAGAGCTGGGGGCCCACTTTATTTGTTTTGTTCCCCTAAAAGCAATGGATGTATAAATACTTACATTTAAGGTTGCCTCAACACATTCCCGAACCATCACTTCACTCTCACTTCAAGAAAGCTCCCAAGGGTGTGAAGAGGACAACAAGAAAAAGAGATTCACATAAGCTTCTGAAGACAGAGACCACATTCAGAGCTGGTATTCTTCAGCTCCATATTCTCCCCTTCAATTCTTACAGTATTGAACTCTTTATAGTTTTCTTTCTTCTTTCTTGTTATGGCCGTGCGTAGCTAAATCTCATTGTAAGGGGGAGGATTTTGTAAACTTGTTATTGGGCTGTAAACCTTGCTTCAGTTTTTTTTTTATAATATATACTAAGTTGAAGTTGCTTTTATTGTTTGATTTTCAATGTGCTTGATCAACATATCGAGATATCTCTTTATTAACTCTTGGAAAATTGTGATGGGGAGTGTTTGACTTCATCTCGTGCTAGATCTACTTGAGTTTAGAGTGTGGGTACTTAGGAATAAGACTCACCTAGAAAGGCTATAAACTGAACTGTTATGTTTTCATTTTTGCTTTAAAACTTGAATAGCAGAAAATCTTGGAATTTTGGGAAAACTCCATGTCTATTTGGCCTGTATATCA